AAGGAGTCCAAAGGGATACTGGCAAATTGTCAGGGAAGCCTGATGAAATACTGGGGGGGGGGTAACCTTGTGATGGACTGGCATCTCATCCAGGGTAGGGGGAGTAAAAATATTCCTAGTTGCTTCATGCTGCATGGGAACCAGAATAAGCCCCCAGTGGGTGGGTGAATAGGCTCGAGTACAGACTTCACCTCTATGCCTTTAGACCTGGTCCCCTGGAGTGTAGGCCACTGACAATTCCCTTCTCTGCCTCCTTCTGTCCTGGGCTAGCCTTTCAAATGTGGTCCAGGCTCCAGTTGTTCGAAGGATGGATAATTCTATTCACTGGATAAAATCTCTATCAGGTGGATAGCACAGTACGTTTTGTTAATGCTTATCTGCTCGATAGCGATTTATCCGTTGGATAGTGTTATCCGCTCTTTGAACAACTGGGCCCAGGTTGTGACCCCATTTCTTCATCTCAGCTTGACAATCTCTCTGCTAGGTATTGTTTTGGGTTAGGGTTTCCATTTTCCTTAAGGATTCCATTTCATGGTTTGTCCAGTAACACTATCAGGATTTTTTTTAACGTGGATCCTTTATTTGCCTTTGTCATTACATTATCTAGCTTTAATTATAAGCCTGCTAAAATAAGCTATAATATTATGGCCGGAGATCTTAGCAAGCTCTACTGAGCTTTTATAAGAAGATCCCCATTTTTCCTTAAGGTGTGGCCAATCCATCTCCACTCCTCCGACTGATTTGTATTTGAATGGGTATGCAACCTGATCTTTCCGATAGCTCTCTCTTTGTTATTTTCCATATGATTCATGGTTATCAATTGTGTTTGACAGCTATTAAAGTCTTTTGCTGGCCTTGGACCCCCTGAGGAAGACAATGGAGAAAACTGTTCTTTGATATATGGATTGATATCAGCTGTTCAAAGTCTCTATGAGCCACTACCTCAAAACTCCAAGACAAATCAAGCAAATTCTGCTGATGATACGGGAAGGATCATCTGCATTACAAACTTGAAAAAGTTAGTACTGTTTTTTTTACATCCTGATAGTGTTGTATCATAATATTTAGATGTAGATCTCATTAAATTTATTAATGTCAGTTTTACTCCAGTAACTTTAATATCACTTTTGATAATGTATTTGACAATTCATTCATTGTAAAATTTGAGCTCGGTAAAGAAATAGAGAAAGACATTGTTTGTCTTGTCATGAGTGTAGGACAAAGAAAAACTTCTTAGTCCCCACACCTGTGACAAGATGGACAACATCTTTCTCCGATATATTAATTCTCGATAAATTAAGGAAAAGTTAATAATTGGTTTGCTCTTCCATGTGGTTTTATGTAAAGTGCAGGTGTATACATGGAAAATGGATCCTCCAGGATCAAAGGATCAATAGTTTCTTATTTATTTACCTTTTGCTCTAGTGAAGGCCATGTTCAGGCTCTTATAGCATGTGCTACTGATACGCTACAAAAACAGAACAGTGGAATAGGTTCAAGTGACAGGTAAAAAATAATGATATTAATAAAAAAAAAAACAAGAAATAATGTGTATTGTGCTTTTTATTAGTTATTGAATTCATTTTTTGGGCATGTATAAGGTTTTCTATTTTATTCTTATCATCATTAAACAGGAGAAGTCTTAGAGTTTTTCATCAGTGATGCTTAATCAGTGGAAATTTATCCTTAGTATTGATTTGTGATTTTCTGTCACTGTTTCTTTTTACCATGCAAAAAAAAAAAAAAGAAAAATAGTGACCTCCATCCAGCCCTTCAAATGATATGCAACCATTGTTTACCACTCTTGTTATACATACATGGAATATAATGGCAGACTTGTTAATTGGTACAAAGATAGTTTAGGGTGATAACAATTTTGGTACAAAAAAATCTCTATTTTAGTGTCGAGCCTATCAAGAATGCAGACCTCATTTTAATTCATGTCCCTTTGAGTGGAGACAGCGGAAAATTTACAGAAAAAGCACCAAAGGTATGAAACTAATGGGACTACTGAAGATATAAGATTAACCTTCTCACTCCTCCAATCATGCAGCTGAACTCTCCTATCATATGGCTACTCTTTTCATTATTGGCTGGTATCGAGAATTTGGTGTTCTATCCTGCTTGATAATTTCTTAATTCTCATAACCTGCCTGTGCAACTATGTATTGAAATCATAAGGAGAACTGATTTATTGATCACTCCTTGGATTGTAAGGGTTAAATTTAAGACAGAGGGACAAGGAGAGAGATGACAAGTTTGTGAAATTAAAAATGCTGTTGAAGATAATATTGTGGCCAATTGTTTTGTGTTTTAGGCTAAAAGGGAGGTCTTGTTGATATGGGTGGTGGCCTTTGGGTATTCTTTACTAGATGCCGGGCTCGACACTAATGGTAGCCAACTAGCCACAGAATAGTAGAGATTCAGTTTTGGCAGGTGGTTTCCGATTTCCACTAGCCAGTTTGGCCAGTAAACAATCTGAAATTGTTGTAACCTCTAAGTTGTCACTAGCCACTTGGCTAGTATGTTGAAAAGTTAGTGCAGAGACCTGAGAAATTGCTGGGTTTTTTTTTTTATCAACTCTGATTTTGATGTAATTTTAGTGATAAAGAATTTACAAAATAGTACTAATATGAATAAAAGGAAAAATTAGTTTGTGGTTGATTTGATGCTGTAGTTTTTCTTGGCCAAAATACTCCTCAGTTACCTTTAAAATTTATAAACAGCATTATGGTGCATTGCCTTCAAACTTGGGAAGTTGAGGATGTTAGAAAAATATTTAAAATGCAATCTCAGCCATAATTTTTGCTGTGAAAAAGAGCCAAAAAATATTGTGCACTTTTTCAGGGATCATCATTGTTATCAATTACCGTCAGCTCTCACAAAGCATCTCAGCTGGTTGGTAAGCTCAGCATCATGGCACAGAAGCACTTTCATCTGAAGTCTACGACAGTCACAGGGATACCAATGAAAGTAGGACATTATTTTAGTGGTTGACACCATCCTCTGAAGTTCTGTTTCTTATAAGTTCAAAGTGAAATTTATGGTTTTGATGATGCTGAGTGTGTGCAGTAAGAGTTTGATAAACGGTGATAGAAGTGATTTATTTTGTGAAGGAATTTTTTGTCAGGAAGAGCAGCACTCTGGAAGCTCAGCCAACTATGATGTGGAAATCCTCCATTCTTCACAAGTGCATATGGAACAGGCTGTCGCAAGTAAGATTGCCTCCATACCAAAACCATGTTTGATGTTTTGTACTACACATTTATATTCTTTCCAGTGTTTGACCAGCAAGCCTTCCTGTCTCTCACAAAATGACATGCTCTACAATACAGAGTAATTACTTACATGTATGAAACTATTACAGATGTGTTTTGTGGTGATGAAACTGTACCAGGGAAAAAGGACAGCCCTGGAACATCTAAAGACACTGTTCATCTGAAGTGGTGCACACCCAAGACAACATCTGCACCAGGTATTGGCACCAGGCCCCCATCCTGCCCCGACCTATCCTGACCCCCTACCTTTACCTGATTGAATATATGTGCAATGCTTCAATTTCTTTTTTTTTTGGTTTAAATTATTTCAAACAATTCTTTTTTTTTTTTTTACATGCCTTTGTCTTAACTTATTATAATTTTATGAAATCAAGGAAAGTGAAAGGCGAATTGGTTTCAAAGATTTTAAAGCAATAAAATATTTCAACCACAACATCTGAATTTGATCTTCAAAGAAAAAAATCCAGAAAAGTGCATATTTGATTTTGATTCTCAAGACGTCCTTCACAGAAAAATCGTTCCTTTTCCTTTTTTTTTTTTTCTGTTGCTGTATTTCTATTATTTAGTATTTTTTTTTTATGTCAGCTCCATTTTTTCTGCTGTTTTAGAGCTTCAAGCTTGCATCGGTTGTTTCTATTATTTAGTTTTTTTTTTTATGTCAGCTCCATTTTTTCTGCTGTTTTAGAGCTTCAAGCTTGCATCGGTTGTTATAGGATCACTCCAGTAGAGGTAATGTTTGATTTTAAATTCTGGAAATTGATCTGACAGTTTTAAAAATTTATTTTGTATTGATCAAAACATTTATGTTCATTTTAGTAAAATTTATATTTTTGCTGTTATATTTACGAACACTGATGTGAATTAGTGGAACATTACAACATCTCTTTCTGTAGGTCAACAGTAGACCCACTGCATGCCTTATTTCTTTCCTGTTACAAGGTAATTTTTTTCCTTATACTCCCCAGATCCTAGTTGTAATTCTCCTTACTGTCTATATAATCCTTATCATGTTAGTTCAGAGAATTTGGTATTGGATCAACTAATACCAGTAATCCTGTAATAGATATTTTTCTTTATTCTTGTCACCTGTCTTGCTTGATAGCAGGTCTCCTATCCGCACTTCACACGTGTGGGGCAGAGCTCCATACCCATGGAATATGGTCAACCTCTTTTCATTTGGTTGTCATGTAACTGACCAAGCGTACGTACATACGTACGTACGTGCCTTCAGATTGCACGGGTAGGGTAGGGAAGACTATCAAAACGAAGGGAGGGGTGTCTCAGGGGAGTCTTGGCAAATGCTTATCTTTTATGTTATCATTAACATTATGAACTTGGGAGCTCCACTTTTAGGCTTGGCTAAATCTATAAATTATTATCTAATAATGTAAGGAGAAATTCTGTCTTTGTCACTCATGGGAGTTAAAGGGTTTAAAAAATAATCCATTAAAGCAAAAACTGCATGTCTTTTTAGTATCTTTCCACACAAAACTTTTATAAAATCAGAAACAAGTATTATTGCAGCTTTGTTTTTCTAAACAATATAGACATTGAGGGAGAACTTTGTAGTAAGGCCAAAAGCAATAAATAAAAATTCAGAAAAAGCCAGCCACAGGGCAAAAAAAAAATCAGGTAACCCCAACTTTTTCTTCATAGTCCTGAACCTTTCAATTGGCCAGGTGGTCTAATTTGTTATTTCCTGACAGGTCGACAAGTTATGTTAGAACAGCCAAAGAAGTCTGGTGGAAAACTAGTGTCACATATTTTGGCCAGTCATGGAGGTATTTTGGATTTTTGGCATTACTTTCCTCATCAGCCTGCAAGACAGGCATCAATTGTTTGGTGTTTTTCAAGTGAGCAGAGACAAGCAAGAGACCACCCTGAAGGGCAAATCAACAGCAAACAAGTGTCATCTGCTCAGCAGGCTATAACCTTACGTGCTTCTGTTAACACTACACCCCTGTGTCAACATATATATTCTCCATACAGCTCCCTATACATTTCCTATGATACTGAGGAGAAAGTGCTACCTCTCTATTATATCAAGAAATGGATAGACATCCTAGCCTTCTCGGATAAGGACGAAAAACTGTAGGCTCCTTCTCGTGCATCTTCTCAGTACTGGTTAGCAAGGGACGTTAAAGAACCCACACACTTATCACAAACAGTAGGGAACGTAGCTCCCCGTGTTGTGGACTGGCCTATTTACTGAAACTGGGGGCGTCTGTTAAAATTACATCACAAAGAATTGCAAACTGCTGCAAAGCAGTCTGTTAAGTCCCCCACAAAACATTGTAATGTGAATTTTAACATATCCCAGTGTTAATTTGCACAATATAAATATTGAATTATTATTATATTATTACTGACAAGGAGAATTTTTCTGACAGTCACAAGCTTGATTAGTTTGGGATCTTGTTCCTAATTCTCATGACCTTAATGTTTGATTCAACAGGGTTACTGTATGGAGAAATTAGATCTAAATCACTTTGAGGGGTTAAAAAGATAAAGTTTCATTTTTTAGCAGCCCCATTCTAATTTTTTATATTATTATTCTTTTAGGTGATATTTTTATACATTGCTTAGCGACCTACCGCACCCCAATGGAAGATCCTCCGTCCATAAGCGAAGGATGTGGTGGCCGAGTAACAGACTACAGAATCAATGTGAGTCTGATTTCATTAAAAAAAAGAAAAAATTGTGTGCTTTTACATTCATGTTTTTCCATGTACTGAGTAGCAACAGTATGGATGAGCTCACTGTCAAGTTTGTGCACGTAGGAATGGTAAGGAAAAGTGTTAAGTTTTACAAATTTTGAAAGGATTTTGTTAAATATATGGGGTTTTTTTATTTATTTGTTTTTTTTTTTTTATATAGGACTTTGGCGAATTCATGAAGGCAAACAGACTTGCCCCTTGTTCATGGAATAAAAAGAAAGGAAAGTCACCCTTAGATAAAGGTACTTAAATTTTACAAATGAAGTCAAATTGCCATTTTATGGAAACCGTGGGTAACCCTCATGTGTCTCTCATCGAAGTGGCTTTGCATGTTATCTTAAAATGACAAAATATTCTGCAGGACTGGCAAGACTGGAGCGCAGTACAAGATACTGGCCCATGGTGATCGGTGAAACACTGCTGTGTAACATGATGCAGGTATGGAAATATGAACTTCTTGTTAACCAAGCGCGAGGGCCGTACTGGAAAATATTGACTCGAGCTCGTGGCAGTGCGGACCGGGCGCAGTGATTTCCGTGCAAAAGCGACCAACAAGTGAGAGGTTTTTTTTTGGCTAAAATGTCACAGAAACACCTGTTTTAAAGGTGTGAAAGGGCCATCTCTATAGTGAATGTTTGAAAGTATTCATGACTTTTTTTTTTTTTTTTTCTGAAGGAGGATTTAATTCTGTTGTTATGTTTCGCATTCAAACAGCTCTTAGAACCTCTCCCAACTGTCATGGCGAAGGAGACCGTTACAGAAAATGATGTACTCGAATGTAAAAGAGTAAGAACTTTAATTCTTTTACTTTTATTTCTTACCAATGAAAAGAAAATAAATAGAAAGAAAATAACAGGCATGTACATATACAAGCTGCGTAAAAAAATGCCTGCACGTTAGAGCTAAGGCTTAGTTTCAGGAACCGGTGTTCCACGGGTGATTAAAGGTTAGTTTGGTCATGTCAACTCTGGGATTGCATAACTGTAAAAAAAAAAATAATAATAAAAAAATAATAAATGAACAACCGTTCTGTTTTGGATGTGTAGGTTTTCTACAGAGTGCAAGCCATGGAGAGTAGGAACGATCCGCTTCCAGTATCTATGACTGGAATCAGAGGAAAAGGACCAAAAAGGTTACTAATACAATGCCAACCAATTAAAACTATAATGAACAGTGCTGATAATCAATTGGAACTGAGAAAGATACAAGGGGTGTCGACCGCGGGAAAATACTATAGCGGTTGTCAAGGACGGGAAGTTCTGTCACCTCTTGCAAACGTGAGGAAATACAAATTAACCTATCACAACAACGATGAACAGTGCAATGAGCCAATCAGGACTTGGAAAGATACAGAGGGTGTCGAGCGCGGGAAAAATGTAGCGATTGTTATGGGCAGGAATCTCTGACACATTTGGTAAGCGCAGGAAAAGAAGTATGAACCAATCACATCTGCGATAGACGGTGCGATAAACCAATCAGAATACAAAGAGGTACAACTGGTGTCAAGCGCAGAATTATATAGAATGTGTTAAAGGGCGAGAGGTTCTATTTCCTTTGGTAAGCGCGGGAAAATATGTTACTGGCATACGAAAATGTGGACCATAGATTGTATTTAGGCTACATATTTTTGCTTTGGGTAATTACGAAAGATATTTTACCAGCAGATTACTCTGACTAATGTTTATTTTGTCAGAGAGGAACAGTATCGACAGATTTGGGCTGAATTGGAGACTTACCTAGAAGCTGCCAGTAGAACATCCAAGATGCACGAAAAGGTTCCTACGACAGTTCTTCCTTACATTTGACTATTTACTCATAAATGGACACCAATTTTTTTTTCGCAAAGTAGGGGATAGAAAGGCGAAAAGTTAGTGACTCCCGTGACAACCTTGTTTTCACACACATGTATTGTTGCCTAGCGACATTTCTCACAAGAACTTAGAGATTGGTCGAATCTTAGTAGCTTCAGCCCTTGTGACCACTTGACTGATTTTAAAACGTAATTTCTTCTGAATTGTGTGTCTAAAAATTCATCATGTCCAGTGAAATAATTCTGAGTCGTATCTTGTCTATGTTTTTTTTGAAGGTGTTGGAATGCCTGCGTGGCACTAGTCCTTCCAGTAGTACCACAGACAGTCCAAGGAGAGAGACACCCACAGATGAAATTGAAAGTGAGTATATCGCCGATCCATCTCGCCTCGCGTTCCACTCTTTTCCTTTATACGCGCATCTTTTTTAAGAGAGACTTACTAGGCAAAAAATATGCACGAGATAAATGAAAGAAATGCAATTTAAGTGTCCATCTAGAAAAGATGTTTTACACCGTAACAACAGTAGGCATGTTGTTCCCACTGTTCTCTATATATATTTCCTATGGCGCTGACCACCTTCCCTGCCTGCCTTTGGAAGACAACTCGGACTGGTTTCACCCCATTGCTTCCGCTAACGTTAAGCTGTTCTTTCTCTTCCACAGAAAATAATATTTCCAAACTTTCAGAAGTTTCGCTCTCCTGGCAGGAGCTTGACAGGTCAGTCTATATAATTCTAGTTACCAGCTGTCGCGTTAATCACTTTAATTATTGCTCTCAAAAAGGGTCGCGTTAAATTTACTCTTTCTTACGGTTTTAACAGGTTTTGCCCCCCACCCCCCCCTCCCTGCTGAATTTTTTCCCTCTCCTCACTTTTTGAACTTGTTTCATAGTTTTCCGGCAGTGACGAAATAATGTGGGAAGACTCAACCAGTGGGAATAATAATGTGGGAAGACTCAACCAGGCGAAACGTCCGTAATTCGTCCTCGTGCCACTAAAGAAAAGATAGAAGGGAAATCTCATAATATATTTTAGTTTTAATGAACCTCTTTCAGATACCAAAGTATGACGGAGCGAGAGAAGACCGATTTTAATCGCGGAGATACAAACAATGAACACTTCTTCAAAAGAAGTATGGCGTCAGCGGTGGCGGAGCAGGCGCAGAAGAGATTGCGTACCGATAATCAACATGGAATGACTAAACAGACGGGAAGAGGTGAGAAACGCTTTGTGGTTAGGCTCAATTTTGGTGTTGGAAAAACATTTATACAGATGATTTTCTTATTCCGTGCAATGGTGGTGGAGCAAAAGATCATGTAGTCATGTTGTCGATTGATTCGTTTATTCCAGGCACAAGAAATTCTCTTCTCTCGATGTGGAACAGTAAAATGAACGCAATAGCAGCCTCGCGACACGAAGAATTTGCTGGTAGGCTTCAGTCGACAGGGAACAAAGCCGAACTTTACTCCAATCCTATGGATTCCGGAAGTAACAGCAGGTAGAGCTTAGTCGCGTCCTCTCCCCCCCCCTTAGGAGGATTCGAACCTAAGGTAGCTCCGATGCCGTATTCGAGTGCTTCACACCAAGAGCTGCATACAACTCTTTGGCGAGCCAGGCCATGAAGTACAAACAGCAAAGCTAAAACCATTCGCGACTTGTCCACTCATGTTTTCGTGCGCTTTGAATTCTCATTGGCCACTCGAAGTGACGATCCAGGATGAGGGTCGGAAGGGGAAGATGTTGGAACACCCCACCCCCCCCCCAGACTTGTTGGTTTAATTATTACTTGAAACCAACATTCTTACAATGACAAGATCGTATGGTATACACAATTTGAAGTTTTTAGCATTTTTTTCTTGTCTCAA